GCCTTCAGTACCGGATGATGTTAGCTAAGATGCTAGCGTAGACGGAAGAGAGAAGAAACCTGAAGACTGAGCTCTGGGGCACTCTCTGACTCTTAGAGACCAGGAATAAGAGGAGAAATAAGTGAAGGATACTGAGGAAGAGCAGCCAGTGGGGTAGGAAGAAAACCTGGGGCATTTGGGATACTACAAGCCAAGAGAAGGAAATGTTTCAGGACAAAGGTAAGAGTCTATGCCAAATCTTGCTGAGAGTCTGAGATTTGATCATTTGATTTGATAATGTGGAGATTATTGGTAACCTTGGCAACCATGGTTTCAGTGGAGAGGGACTATAAATATCTTTTAAAAACAATAATAAAGATTAGCAATAGGAAAAGGTGAGTATAGAGAGCTTTTTACATTTTTCAGTGAAAAGGAGAAATGGGGCTTTAGTTGGGCAGGGAAGTGGTATCAAGTGAGTATCTTTTAAAACAGGAGTTATGACAGAATGCTAACTGTTTGTGTGCTTATTGCAGTGATGAGTAGGGAAGTAAAACTGCTGGTGCAGGAAAGGAAAGGGGTAGTTACAGAAGAAGAGCCCCTAAGTGGGTGAGAAGGGATGACAACAAGATCCTCAGACAGGAACACAGATCAACCAGATTTGATGGAAGAACAGGATCCCATTTCCTGAATGCTTCTCATTTCTTGGTGATATAAGAAGAAATATTATTAGCTAGAGCAGGGAAATAAGAGAGGCATTGGAGTTTGAAAAGTAAGACTAAATATAAAACATTCATCTTATAAAGTGAAACAATGAAGCACTAGAGAAATGCAGTGCCATTTCCAAAGAGATGAAAGCACACCTTGGACGTGTGGTCCTAAATACCCAGTAAGCAGGTTATATGTTTTTCTCCAGATGCACTCGCTATTAGGAATTGGTGGAGCTGCTGATTTAACCAGGGTTGAGATTTTTTTCAGGTGAGTAAGATGGGGAAGGAGGGCAAGGGAGATGAGACTGAAAATAATAAATGACTATGGGTCCTAAGTTGAGTTTGGAGGGAAATGAGGACATGAGGAGGATGAGGGATGGCAGGAAGGTGGCAGAGTTAATGGATTGGAGGTCCTAGTGGGATTGAAGAATTGTTGGCAAGGGGGCAGTAAAATAAGTGGGCAGGAAACTAATAAGGTGATAGAAAGAGGGATGATAAAAAGTGACATTTTGTATTGGTTTGATATGACATGGAATTATGAAAGGGGGTGGGAAAGAACCAATATCATTGCAGGTAACATAAAGGAACTAACAGGCCAGGGTATCGGATGGATTATCTTCATGAATACTGTAATTACCAAGATTGATCATGGAGATAATTGGAAAGGAAGTGATCCCCAGACACTAATATCTTCAGTGAATGTGGGAGGATGACAGAAAACTTCAATAAGGAGGGGCTAGTTAAGTGGATATCTGACAACACCTGCTTCAAGGGAGCTAGGTTATTTAAGAGTGAAAATCAGACCTACCAAAAAGTAGAAAGAAAAAGTTATAAGACGATCATTAGAATAAGATTAATAATACTAACAGAAATTTTGGCTCTTTTTACATAAATTCACATTTTTTACAATTTCTTAAATATGTAGCCATTTGTTTGTATACAAAAAATAGAACAACAACAGAGGGAGAACTCTGACTTCTAATTATAAATGATATGGTTTTAGTCATTCTTCATTATTTCCATTTTCCCAGAAAGTTCAAGGAAAACTCTAATTATTTTTGATAACGTGATATTTTATAGAAAAGATGCAAGCAGAAAGCATTTCATTTCTTCATTGAAAGAATGAAATTGTGGTCCAATCTTGACTCACCGGGATTGTTGGACTGCGCGTCCATGGGGATCATAAGCTTGGCCCGGGTGGCTCGGCGTGCAGCCAGTGACCTCTCCAGGGTGGACATGGAGCTCCCTGCTTCCTCGGTGTCCTGACCTAAAAAGGGAAACATACTCTTGAGAAACACACCTTCTTCAGTGATGCTGCACTTCATATAATTTCCAGCAGGGCATTCAAATGCCTTTTTAATCTTGCAGATGTTTTAAATGATAATATCTACTTCCTTATTATCCAAATTATACAACCTCCTTGTACAAATATTAATAAAATTAAGTGTAACTTCATTACCCAGAATAAACTGCTATTTAAATTTTGATGCTTATAATTTTTGCATGTGTATGAATATGTGAAAGTGGAGGGTATATATTAATATATCTTTCAAAAACGGCTTTATGCCATATATACTAATATGTAACAGGCTTAAAAAATAACACAAAGTTCTTTTCTCTGTCAATTGATGTCAGTAATA